AACAGCTCAATCAGCCGATAGTAGCAATCTGGGCCATGCAGGTAAGGATTTCATTCTTTATTAAAATAAAAAAAATAAAGTCTGATAAAGCAAAGCACTGCAGCGGTGTGTGTATGCTGCCTGGAGATAGGTGACTTAACAGCTCACATCCTGGAACCTAAACTGGGGTTTATAATGACTTTGCACATCAGTCTTTACAGTTATGCTGCGGTATTATATGAGAATATGTGCTATTACCAAACTTAAGGAAAGTTAACGACCGTCTTTAAGAGAGTTTTCTGCAGGAAATACGGTTTACAAGTAAAAATTACTGTTACCTTCTTCTGATACCACGATATAGCATCTCTCTCATTTGAGGCCATCTGCGTCTCCAGCCAGAGAGTCGGATTTCACTAAAAACGAAGGAAATGTCTCGGTAAGTCCTGGTGCTGAAGGTTATTGTTCCCATTGGGGGCTGACTTAAAATCTGCTTCTCTCAGCCTCTCCATGAACTGCTCTTTCTCCAGATGCTCGCGGATAAGAAGGAAAAAGAAAAAAGAAGAAAAAAAAAAAAGTGTGGGGGAAGGGGGAAACGGGCACAGAGGCAACCAAGAAGCCTCTGCACCAGCCAGCCCAAGTACGGATGCGGCGACGGCAAGGACCGGGCCGGGCCCACCCCCGCGCCCTCCTCCTCCCCGCGGCCGGCTCACCTGGTGCCCGCTGCCGGCCGGGCCCCCGCTCCTCAGTGACCCCGGCCGGGCCTGGAGGCCGGGGGCGAGGCGGCGGGCCCGGCAGGCCGCATCTTCCCCCAGAGGCCCCGGCCGCCGGCGGGGCCGTTACCATGGAGACCGCGGCGGCCGGCCCAGCCCGGGAGGCCGCCGGCCGCGCTGAGCCCTGAGGAGCGCAGCCTGCAGCAGCCACGGACACCCGACCCGGGCGGTCACCGAACCCGCCCTGGGAGACGCCGGGAACCAGCTGGAAGATGAGCGGAAGGAAGCGGGAACGGTGCCTTCGCCGGGCACCTCGGCACCCGCCAGCGCTGGGGACGCGGCTGGAGGCCAGCCCCGGGCCGGCGGCGGCGCGCGTCGTCCGGGAGGGACGGGCCGCGGCTCGACGAGCTCCGGGGAGATCAGACGCTTCCGCCTTCCGGCTCCGCCCCGGCCGCCTTCTGGCAGCCCGGAGGCGGAGGCCGAGCGGCGCGCCGCGAGTAACCCTCGACGCCTAACGGAAAGTCACCTCCGAAACAACCCTCCCGGCACCCATCGATCCCCGGGAGGCTGGTCCCGTGGTGCCAGAGGTTCCTGTGCGGGTCTGTAGCATTTAGCGTGGTGTCTACTTCGTCTAGCCGTGGCCCCTAGGGTGGACGAGGTGAGAAACTGGCGCCAGACCCGAGCCCTGCGCACGAGTTCTCCGTTCTTGTTGGGCAGGTGTTTGTGAATTTGCGCGGCCTGGAACGCGGACAGGCGGCCTGTAGCTTAGCGGTTTCCTCCCTCGGCTCTCAGCAGCTCTGGTACCTACACAAGCCTAGGAGGGGCTGGAGAGATGGCTCAGAAGTTAGGAACACTGTCTGCCCTTCCAGAGGTCCTGAGTTCAATTCCCAGCAACCACATGGTGGCTCACAACCATCATATGAGTTCTGGTGCCCTCTTCTGTCATGCAGGTGTACATTCAGGCATACATAATCAATAAGTCTTAAAAACAAAGCCTAGGATAGAGAATGCACAAAGCCCGACCGCGCTGGGTGTTTCCCCAAATCGGAAAAAAATAGCTGTAGGGGCTGTTTTTAATGATTCAGAGGCCCAGAGAAAGGGCAGCTGGGCGTTAACGTGGATATTTAAATTTATGCCCAAGGGGTTTCTCAACTGTTGTTCTCTCTGTACAGTCTGTGCATGTCAGTAGTTGGTTTCCAAGGGCCATTGTCTTCAGCTTACTTAAAGTTGTCTCCTTTCTTGTCCTGGGCACAAAGCATTTAGTTGATGTAAGGCTAAAAATGGCTGATAGCTTTCCTATCACTTGAGAATGCCCAAGAGGCAGTCTGCAGCTTATAGGTAGTCTTAAAAGGGTCAAATGAAAAATCTCCATAATGTAAGCCGACTAAAAAGTAACACCCACAGGAATAACTTTTAAAAATTTCTTCACCTACAAATTGGCAGTGGTTACACTGTTTTTACCCTTTCACCTGTTAAGGGCTAAACTAACAACTGTGGAGTTTTAGCAGCTTTTCCCTTCAGTTCTGCTGAAGAGCGTAACTCGAGGAATGACCAACTAATCGCTAAACGACAAACAAAAATTCACCCTGAGACCTAAATTAACACCAAGAATAAAAGCATCTGACTTCGTTGCTGAACACACAAAGTTTCTGGCTGTGGGTGGTACTCTCAGGAACAGAATTAGTGGTACAGTAGCTTATCATTTTCCAAGAGCCCTGTTAAATATTTTCGATTTTATTAGGATGCTGCTGTGTAAGGCAGAGCTCTGAACCCACAACAGCACTCAGCCTGCTGCTCCCTGTAATGACCTGTGATTTTAGGAAATTGGTTCGATTTTCAAGTCTGCTTTCTCACTTGTGTTGTGGAGATAATTACCTCCCTACTACTGGCTGTGAGAATTGATGAGATACCCTGAGATGAGATGCCTTCTGGGAACTAAGTGCTGTCAGAACAAACATTTCAACTACACAGTTCACCCAAAACCTAATGAGAAAAAGAACCCATTTTGTCGTGTCCCATAGTCATTCCATATCTGAAAACTAAATACCATCTTATTAGGCCATGCATTTTCAGACATACCTACACTGCCGAAATGAAAGCTTAAGGCTGTTCAAGTACTTAAGTGCTTAAATAATTTTAGGCAGCCATAAGGATAACTGTCACAAATACAAGCTTCATTTTTCTTCAAAACTTAATATGGATGTATCTGACCTTTTCTTTGAGAAAGAAAAGTCCAAGGTTTTCTTCAAAATAATAGGGCACAAAGAAGGTGAGTGCATGCATGGTGTGTGTGTCAGGGGAAGACTAGTACTACACAAATAGGCTCCAGGCAATGAGAACTCTCATGTGCTGTTCATTTTGTGATCAAACATCAGTAAGGACAAATCAGACTTTGTTTATTAAAAAAATACTTTACAAGAAAAAAAAACTATGCATTCCATTGTCCTATTTTACAAAGAAATAGCTTAACAATTTAACACACTTAGACAGCTACAAAAAAGCACTGTGTTAAAAGAATTATTATTCACACAAATTTAGATTTAAGACTATTCATTAAAAACTTTTTAAAACACTTGTTAATGTCAATGAACAAACTAAGGCCACACAAACGAAAATAGTCCGCCAGGCAAATTATACATTTCATCTATATGCAAAGACCTCTTAGATAAATTAAAGCCACAGGGGGAAAAAAAAAGTCTTAGCTGCCAATCAAAATGAAGTTTAGTCACAGAAAACACTATTACATGAAAATTTACAGCATGTGATAGAAGTAGTACATAAGTATTTCTTGAGAATTGAAAAGTGCTATATTTTAAGAGACGGTGGTCTCAACTACATGCACAAGTGGATCCTAAAAAATTTATGAAGATTTTTAAAATGGAAGGCCATAATATTTATGGATACTTGCTTTTAAAGCAATAGACTTCCAGGATGAGGATAAGTCCTTTGTACACTTAAGAAAAACACTGGTGTTGTGCATCTCTACTTGCATGACCAGTGAATACAGCTACAGACTGTCTTGAAAACATGAAACTTAGCACAAATGTGAACCTCTGGTATGCTACTGAAAGGATGAAACAGACTGATTAGAAAGACACAAACTCAGTAATCCTAATTATCCTCAATAAATGCAAATAAATTTTAAAAGGCAAACAGATGAAAATATAATGGGCTAATATTAATGATAAAGGATATATTCCTAGTCTCATGGATTTTGGAGTCTTGTTCCTATATTAACTTTCCTTCTAGACAGTATTTATACAGGGAAAAGCAATAAGCAAAAGTTTCTCAAGTCATTAGGTGAGATCTTTATGCCTGTTAAGACTGATACATCTTTTCCTAAAGTTTAGCAAATGGATTAATAAGCTCCTTTCCCCATATAAGAGCTTGGAATACTAGTGAACTGATAGTTCAACTGTTTCTAAGGGGACTGGGCACTTTCCACAAGTCTTTAAAAATAATGTACCAGTAAAACTTGTAAGTACTGAATAAGCAAAGTACAATTAAGCCTAAGAATTCATTTTTCAAGAGTTAAACTTTGGAAGAGGGAACCAACATGGAGGTTATTATTATTGCTTTATGAATTTGGGACATTTCTCAGAATCATAACCCTGATTCCTGTCCTATCTTGATAATTACAGAATGACCTCTGGGGCAGGGGAAGACTTTTATCCTTTTTCATGGTTACCATAAAACCATTCTATTTGCTGTTAGGAGTATTTGTTTATTAGGTCCTTTCCATAAGCATGTTTTTAAAATATCCCTCTGGTCCACAAAGCACTAAAATTTATAGCCACATTCTGCAAGTACTCTCAAAGGTTGGCACAACAGAAAACATACCAGAAAGGAAGATCAGCTTCAATTTCAGGTACAGCCTCACTGCCACCGCTACTTCACAAATCAGAGGACGCCAGACCGCTCCACGCCTCACTCCACCAACCAAATAGTTGAATGATTTAGAAAAGTTGCAATCATTTGTATCGCTCAACTAGGACACAGTTTTGAAAGCAGCAAGAAACTCAAAGCCCCTGCTTTTATATTCATCAGTCTTTAAAGCATGCTATCAAAATCTAATACTCACATAGGACATTCAGGGTTTCCAGATACATTACTAGCTAAATGTTTCTTTCCATTCTATTGCAATCTAATATACAGTAACTTCATTAGTACATGATTTTCAACATTTTTATATTTTTTAATATGTTTATACTGGAGGTGAGGGTAGAATGTTTTGGAAAAGGAAAACGGAGATTTGCGTTTGATTGTAGGTCTTTGCAGATCCGCTGGTTCCTGAGTGATTACACACAGTGCTGGCTGTCAGGAGACAGTCTCCTTGTTTATTAGTAATGACCAGCTTAGATGACAGATGGCATCTGCTGGATGGCAAGTGGGAGATGGGGAAATCGGATCTTGGAAGACAAGAAAAACAAAATAAAACTTTTTGCGTTAACAACTTTTTCTCTTCATGATTATTTTTTAAAGCAAATGTTGCCTGAGAAGAATTTTTCTTTGCACAGCCTGGTAAAGCTCTATGAAATTCTTCTGGACAGAAAAATAAAAGCAAGAAATAACCCAAGCCCATTCATTTTTTGATAAACCCCTTCTCCACAAAATAACAACAAAAAATACCCTCAAAGGTCCCTTAAAAACTAGTTTGATAAACTAGAATTTACCCTAAAATTTATACACAGGATTTAAAAACACCCCTTTAATAATCACATTACCTTTCATACCATTCTAATTACCTTATTTACAAAGATAACTAAAAGCAACATCACTTCCGATTCATAAATGGTTTACATTGAAGTGTTTCCCTATTTATTTGTCTTCATCCTTTGTAACAGAGAATACATACATATACATATATATAAGGAATAATACAGTTTCTAACTAATCACTGTAGTATTTGCTGATGGTTACTTTTCTATCGGTTTACACAGTGACCTCTATACTTTGCTAATATGCATTTAACTACACAACAATATTGCACAAAGTAATATTTATATAAGATTTAACCTATTTCAGAATATTTTAGAGAAAATTCATATTTGATATTTCCAAAGATGCAGCTAAGTTTCCATGGTGACAGACATAATAAAGCAGCATCTTTACCTTTTGCCTATGTTAATGCAAATATTTCAAATCTCACCATCCAGGAAAAAAAAAAAAATCAAATTGCACTGTAACCAGGTAGATACAAGAATCTGGTCTCAGGTGTGGGGAGTACTCTTCCTTTAGTAAACAAAAGGCCTACTGAGTTATTAACTAAGAGAAAGTATAATGCATAGCACTTGAACATCCTAAAATAAGAGAAAGACCACACTGCTTATATGAAGGAGGCCTGTTTGAAGAAAGAAAACAAAGTAAATATCCAGACATTAAGTTTCAGCTTCCCTGAAACTAGTAAGATGGAAGTCTAATGCCTGTTATCAGAAAATAGCAACACAGAATAACAATGAACAAACCCAGGTATTAGCCAGATAAAATTGTAAAGTGTTCCAAAAGTAGATGCCAAGTCACAAGAATAGTTTCTTCTATTTGATGCTCAGATATGGCAACCCTCATCAATGAGACTGGCACGATTCTTTAACTCTGATATTTGTGATCTGTTTGGGAAAAGTATCCACAGGAAATGTGAGGATACTAGGAAGCAGAACAAAGGATCAACATTATCTCTTTTGCTCAAAATAGCCTCCATAGTTACCATATAGCCTAGAAAAGATTAATGAACCATGGATAATGAATAACCAAGAAATATTCATCTTTAGAATTTTGTTTAATAGAAATATCCACTGGGTTTTAAATAACGGACACAAAAAGACAGCCTGGGTCAGAAAGTGCGGTGCTTCCTCTTTTGCTAAAAAACAGAGAGCCACTCAGTTTTCTTTAGAAACCATATCTTTGAGTTGAAACTAAATAACTTTACTTGTCCATGTACCAGATGCAGGAGCCTTTCCTGCAACCAATGCCATTTTACTGTGGAAACTAACAAGGTGCCTTGAAGACACAAGTACTAAATCATAAATCTACTTTCTACCACATAAAGCAAATATGGCAAGAGACAAGGAAAGATAAAATCAAGGGAAGTGAATAATTTACCAAATAAGAACCTGCTATTCCAGAGAATTCGTGTTTTGATTTGAAGAGATTGAACTGTAACCTCACACCTTAAAACAGAAAGTAGCAGCAGACCCACTATTACATACTGTACTACGGGATAAGATACAACTCTTAGCTTTGCATAATCTGCGTAAAAAAGATATGCTCGACATTAATGGAATGTCATTTCTCTTTATAGAATTATAGGCAAGATTTCTCCAATAAAACTTAACTTAGGCCAGTTATAAAACTATAACTTCACATCAAAATTTAAAAAAGTTAAAAAATGTGTTTGAATATGTACATATCACACAGGAGTGCTTGGATGTTCCTGCAGACCGTGTTGCTGGTCAGAGTCCAGTCTACTCTCCACCTTGAAAACTGGAATAGGCTGAGTCTTCAGATCCTGTAGATGAAGTTCTGATGGCGGTGGGAAAGATGAGGAAGCAGTTGTCAAAAGCTGCATCTCTGTGCATGTTTCCTCAGATTCAGTTTTTACTCTCACACACTGGGAGTCAACTTCTAAACCACAGTCCATGTTGGAATTGTTTTCTGTGTTTTGAGGGGCTTCCACAACAGGGTGGTACTGTTTAAGCCTTATATGCCAGGCTAAGCTGCAAACTGCTGACACTGTTTTGAACTGATGAATGACATTTCTCGGAATGAAGTAGATATCATTGTCGCAAAGCTGAATTCTAGCATAGCGAATGCCTTCTCTCCTCATTTGGTTTAGTTTCGCTTCATCCACCCACTGTACACACTAAAAAAAAAAAAGACAAAAAATTGCATAAGACCTTAAAATATGTCATGATTCAAACAAAAATACTCTAATTCACATAGGAAAACAGAATGGTAGACTGTGTTAAAGCAGAGTTAAATGGTTTATCTTGAAAGAACACAGTAACTGTTGGGAAACATTTTTGTACATATTTACCCTTCTTAATCATAAAAGACTGTCGGGATGGCATATGGAATCAGTTGAAAGTGTAGCTGAATATCAGTATCTTTACCACATATAAAGGCAGCACTTAATCTTTCCCTTCCTATTTTCTGACATTTTATAGTTCAGGCCACAGTCCAGTGAGGTTACCAAATGAGACTGCCTGTGGCCAGAAGTCAACTAACCAGCTAGGTACTTCACCATCTCAGGCACACCCTCCATCCCAAAGATTGTGAATATTGGTACCACCTTCTACCACACACAGAAGTTAATACAAGTAAAGTTAAATTTACTATCTATGAATCCAGTAACAAAATGCCTCATAAAATGGATCTCGATGTTGTTTCCAATGTCTCACTCCAAGGGTAATGGGAACATGAGAATTATTACCTGGGAAACTGGAGGTTCATGAAGGTCTAACTGAAGTCTCTGTACAACATCAGTAAAGTCCTCAGCATGAAAACAAATCACATCTTTGGTTATGCGAGGCTGGTCACTCCTAATATTAATAAAACAAAGTTTAAGGACTAGCATCCACAACAGAAAATGACAACTTCAGTTTTCCCGTTTCTAGAATGCTACTATTAAGTAAACAAAATGCCTATTTCCTAAGGACTAAGAGTGCACTTGCTTATTAATTAGTTTTCAAAAAACAAAAGCAAATCAATAAAAAACAAAAATCAGGGCTTGAGAGATGTCTCAGCAATTCAGAGTACCACCAGCTTCTTCCAGAGGACCTGGGTTCAATTTCCAGCACCTAGATGGGAGCACACAATTGTCTGTGACTCCAGTTCCAGGGTTTCTGGCATCCTAACACATACATACATGCAGAAAAAATATCAATGTACATAAAAAACTAACTTTTTTTTAAACTCAGGTAAGTTGTTAAAACTCGAACAATAATGACTAAAAAGAACAGTTTTGGCTAGCCTTGCAGCAACCTTTCATGCTAGTGCACACTGTAACCCCAGCACGTGGGAGGCTAAGACCAAGAAGAGGATCTTACGTTTGAGATCACAGTGAGTTCCTACATAGTAAGACCCTGGATCAGAGGATTTTGGTTTTTTTAAGTTTTATTCAAATGGGATGCATATGCTACTGTCTCATTAGGGTCCTGAGCTTTGTTATAATAAACCAGGTTGCAAGTGAGTGCGAAATGGTGCCACCCTACAGAAAACAGAGAGGCAGTCCCTCCAGTAATAAAGCAGAATTGCCATATAACCTAGCAGCTCTACTTCTGAGCATTGAACTCTAGAGACATAAAGACGTGCCTATGTTAACAAAGAGCAAAGGCTCAAGTAACCAGAACATCCATTAATTGAACGACTGTCTGTGTCTGTGTGAATGCGCATTGGAAGCACATGTGTGAAAGGACTATCCTCAGCCTAAAAAGGAAATGAAACCTGAGACTTGCTACAACACAGGTAAACTCTGAGGGACATTATTATAATAGAAATGGCTGAGTTAGAAAAGGATAAAAACCGGAACTGCCAAGATGCCTCAGTGAATAACCATGCTTGCCACCAAGCCTGACTATCTGACTTCAATCCCCAAGACCCAGGTGGAGAGAAGCAACTGCTCTAAGCTGTCTAACCTCTACACAACTGCTGCCGCACACAGCTTACACTCACAGATCAAGAAGTGTGATAAAAATAACTTCCTTTTGTCACTATGATCAATTGTATATGACATTTATATTTGTGTATATGCATGTACATGTGTGAATACCAACATGGAGTCCTAGGGATAGAACTGGGTGGTCAGGCCTAACAGCAAGCACCTTTAACCCACTGAGCACAATCCCTGGCCCACTAGGACTTTTTTTTAAAAAGGAAAAGACTAAGAGGAGTATGTTTCCATTTCTATAAGACACTGGAAATGAAAATGACAAGAGGATATATAGTGATGGTTCCCATGACCTAGGAATGAGAGAAAACTAAAACTGGGCTGTGGGACACCAAGTTTCAGTCTGGCAAGATAAAAAGTTCTAGAGCACTGTTTTGTCAAACTGTGGTTACACTTACACCCTTAAACTGTTTAGATGGTAAACCGTCTTATGTGTATTTCATCACAATTTAAAAATTGTTCCCTGACCTTTTAAGCAGAATCCACATTTTCTTAGGCATTATCCACCCCTGTATTTGGTTCCTTTAACTTACCATTCACCGAACTGTACAGCCTTCAAAACCCCAACAGCAGCCGTACTCTGCCAGTCAAACCCCTGACCTACATGATCAGCATGAGCTCTTGTCCTGTCTTCAAAGAGGACTTCTCGGGGTTCACTTGTCCGAGGTAGGTACTGGAGATTTTTAATTTCATTCATTGATCTATAGTTGATTTGGTTGTGAAACAAAGGAAAAGCACAGGAAATAAACAGCAAAATTAACAGCAATAAGGTAAAAGAGTACTTAAATGAGGTTAGATGAATACAATGATTTTGATTATTGGCATTAAACATACAATATTAAAAATGATTAATATGATTTTCTCCCTTTCCCTGTAGACTATACCTTTATTAGGCTCAAATGCAAAATCTGAATGTATAAAATTTCTCTACACAAGAACAGTATAACTCAAGGCTTAAAGCTATATGCTTCTTTACCTTTAGCTCAGTCACCCCATTTACAACTCTCAAAACATTCTACCGCAACTTAGATTCCAAACAGCAAACTGAGCTACATTTGATGTCCTCCCACATTAAATGGAACTAATTTGGACAGGAGAAGGGAAAATAGACTAGACAGAAATATACATAAAACAGAGTTAGGCATGAGTAGATAACTATTGATTAAAAAAAAAGGATGGGAGTTTATTCTGCTTTTTATGTGTTCAAACATTTCTAAATATAACAATCTAAAGGTGGTAGTAAAGGAAATGAATTAGTAAATTAGCAATACCAACCAACTTTTACGTAATGAAAAATAATCACATTGTCTTAGACTAACAAAACTGATAAAACTGAGCAAACACCATCAAAGGACAAGAACATTCAATAAGGAGTCAACAGGGAAAAAGGCAATGGACCTTGGAGAAGTTGACATCAAAGGAGGGCAGGCACAGTAATGATATGGGACAAAAATTAAGTGAAACTTAAATTTTTTAATGAGAGTATAATGGCTATGGCGTTTGAATGAGAATGGCCCCTGTAGGCTCATATATTTGAACGTCTGATCCTTAGTTGATAAAACTGATTTGCGAAGGATTAAAAGGTAGAGGCTTTTTGGAGGAGGTGTGTCACTGGGGGGTTCACAAATCCCACCCCAGCTAGTTTCTCTCTGGCACTCTGCCTCCACTTTGCAGATCAGGCTGTGAGCAGCATGTCTGCTGCAAAGTTCCCTGCCATGATGGTCATGGACTCACTATCTGAAATTGTAAGCAAGGACCCGATTAAATGCTTTCTTTTATTAAGTTGCTTTGGCCATGGTCTCCACAGTAATAGAAAAGTAACTACGACAAGGATGAAACTCTGCCAGACTCAGTGCCCCTTGCAGGAAGGATGTTAAGCATTTAAACCCATGGAATGGAGAATGTCTAACCACTCAGTTCTGCATTCCTCTCTCAATTTTCTTCACAGCCCCTGATCTAATCTATAAGCTCCAGAGATAGAGCTAGATGAGTCCTGTGAAATTATAGTAGGCTCATTCCAACCATCAAAACATTCAAAACTATTTCAAAAAAGAGGCATAAACCAATGCCTGCCAATAATGTGGATTCTAATTGACAGTATGAAAAAAATCGAAATTTTCCTAGCTCATAAAAAAGCATAAGAGTTTCTTCTATTAACTATAACCAGGTTCAATTATGATGCCTAAAACTTCTAGAACCATCTAACAAACATAAGCCAATATGAGCACAAAAGCCTAAGCAAAAAGAATGATTAAGCAGAGAATGCAAATGGGCAGTTTTAGGTTTATAGCTAAATGATGAGCTAAATAATGAGCTTTTCATGCTGAGCAGAAAGAACACAGTTCTCTGAAGGTGCCCATGATATAAATGGTATATAGAAGAAAACTTAAAAGTTCATCTTATGGTACAGAGAAACAGTAGTCACTAGAGGCAGGGAAAGTTAGCAGAAAGGGAATAAAGAGACACTGAAGAATGGAAACTGTAAAATTAGGTAAGTAATTCTACAGGTACATTAGAAGAGTTAAGTTCATCTAGATGATGAAGGGACTAAGGATGGCAGGGGTGACTCCATTTTGTTTCTCAGACTATCTTAAGTTGACTGTCCTTGGAGTGACTTGACCCCCACCTTTGGGTTCCGAGAAGGGTCACATGGCCCTCCACCCCACAGGTTGTCATAAATACCACAGAATGTATTAATGGGTCCTCTACCCAGCAGGTTATCGTACAGGTATCTTAGATGTCTTTTGGTTTGGCCAGGTGGCTTGGAACAATTAGCCTAAAGGTCACCTCGATTGCTGAACCCGCCACCCAAAACTTACACTTCCCTGTAATGCCAAGGCTTGGAATTCCCCACTTGCTGTTTTTCCCCTTAAAAACTCTGCCTCCCTGAGACTCAGGGCCTCACTTTCTAACCTGCTACGTCAGGAAAGACTGGCAGCCCAAGTTTAAGCTTGAATCGGACTCGACTCTTAGTGGTCTTTTGGGGTCTCTTGAATCGGGCACAACAATGAAACATTCTAGAAGACTGTTATATAATACAGTAAAGAAAGTTTCAAAATTTCCTTGTTTCAAGGTAACTGGAAGAGTGTAGACTAAGCTTGAGAAAGCTGTGTTAAACGGAAACATGGAGCATCGCTGTACACTTGTTTAAGTACTGTTCACAATGTGGCATTAATAAATGTTTGTGAGAAGCACAAAAAACATAATAAAACATTCATTTCTTTTTGAAAATATAGAGCAAAATACATATAGTACTTCCAAGAATTTAGAATTAAGATCCACCACCACAGATATAAAAATTGTTGTGATCTAGTAATGTGCTAGAGTTTTAATTAATTGCTGGGGTTTATGTCCTGCATTCACATACAGTGTTTGTGAGTCTTTTATATCCCAGTCTGGTCTCAAATTCACTATGTAGCTGAGGATGACCTTGAACTTCTGGTTTTCTTGACTCCACCATACCTGGATAAGAGAACTACAAATGTATCCAATTTATGTAGTATTAGGGGTGGAATCCAGCGGCTTCCTACATGCTGGGAAAGCAGTCTATCAACTGAACCATATCCCCGAATCTCAGTTTTTAACTGAGGCTTTTCATTGATCATCTTAAGTATCTAAAGCTATTTTGACACTTAGGTAACGTTCTCCTGTGAGTTTTATTAAAGTTAAGACTAATCTACTCACTTTTGAGTCTTAATTTTTTTTTTTTTTTTTTTTTTTTAAGGCAAGATCTCACTATGTAGCTCCAGGGTGACTTCAAACCTACAGAGATCCACCTGCCTCTCCCTCTGGAGTTCAGGGACTAAAGGTATATGCCATCATGCCAAGCTTAATTTTAAATTGCTATTTCTATAGCTCAAGCAGGTATAAATTATTTTCAGTCTCATTGAATGTTATTTCCCAAAATACTATAAAACAAATCTAATTTGTTTTATGTGTATGAAAGAGAAAATATCTTAGCACATTATTTATTACAACTCTATGCAATAGCATAATATCTCATACAGCACACCATGGTTTCCTACTATGCATGATGATGACTGAGATCAAACAGTCCTCAACCTCAAGGAGGTCAAAATTTATTAAGAAACAAAAACAGTAAAAAGATCATCAAGGAACCATGTTGTAAAACCAGAGACAGAGCTGGCTAACTTGTCCTAAGTTTCACAAAGGTGACATTCAAGGTAAGTTTGGAAACTTTACTAGAAACCTGCTAGACAAAGAGAAAGGTGGGAATAGGGTGGAATTCCAAATAAAAAGAACAAAACAAGAGCAAAGGGCAACGGGAGACAAAGGTTTGGGAATTGAATTTAGTACCTAGGAGAAACTGAGAGCAGATCCAAAGGTACTATATTATCAAAGATTTGTACATACCACACTAAGGAGAATTTGATCGTTTATCCTACAGGCGGTTGGAGGATACCAGTTTTTTAAAAAATGAATTAATTTTTCAGGATTCTGTTGACCATGTAACAGGTTATCTGAACTAAGGTACTGACAACTTGATATTTTACCTAAAAAAAACTCTTAAAAGTCTAGACAAGTTTCCAAACCATGCTCAGGTGTCAATCATTTTTATAAACCACCTACTAAAGAAAGTAATTTTCTTTATTTAAACAAAATTAATGTTTACCGTCGTCTTTTGAAGGGCGACTTTGGCATATCTGCTGTAGGGATCATCTGTTCTCCCGGCCTTACCCACATTATAGGCCCATCATCGCTCTGAGACCTACACTGTAGTTGGAGGCTGGAAAGTGTACCCCAGGGCAAAGTCATCTAGAAACCAAAGGAATAAGTCACATTTAAAAGATTTTAGACTGTTTACAGATTATCCCCCATCCAAATAAAAGCACTAAAAGCCATTTCACATGTGTATATGAAGAAATAAAGCCATATTGCAAAGAAACATATAAAAAAATAAAGTATTCAATACCAATACTTTCTAACCATTTCTACACAAGAAATTTCTACACATTTCTACACAAGTATGTAAGATTTAATTTTATTAAGCAAGATTAACTTAATACTCTAATTTTATGTGTCTACTAAAAATAATGACCAGCACATTAATAGTCTAAACAAACACTCACTTTCAGAAATGGTGATTCTTCTAACATATCAAGGAACTCTGGAAAATAATCACCAACTTCTTCATCTACTGCTCCAACAAGACTTATCTGCCGCATAGGACCTGCTCGGTAGGTACCACAGCAATATGTCCTGTTGACCTGAGATGAAATGAAAGAGAGAGGGAAAGGGGTTGAAGTGCACTATAAGAACGAGAACTGAGTGTTATTTCCAGTATTAGTATTCCATCTACACACTAAGAATTCAATGGTCAGTTCTTCAGACAAAGTTAACCTTGCAGTCAACCGTGATGTCAGCCACAAACAGAAAAATTTCAATGTGTAAGTCAGCCTACTCATTCAATACCTCAAAGCAAGACATAAAGAAAAATTTCTCTAATAATAACTATTTAATTTTGAAAATACTTTATTTTGAAGTGGAAAGGCAGAGTAAGCAATAAACTGGCAGGGCAAAGGGAGAGAATTGCCAGAGCCGCATTAACCCTTCATGTCCACTGCACATCCCTCAGCTAACCTTCACCTCAAGAAAGACACCAAGGTATCACACTACTCTTAAATTTACCTAATTCAAATATCACAATGTTAACAGCACCTAATTTACACACAGCTCAAAAATATAGGTATCTAGGCTAACTGAAGTGATGTGAACAAAAAGACGTGAGCACCTCTTCCTGCTTGAAAAGAGAAAGAAAGCCTAAAGGAAAGATGGAGTGAAGAAAGGCAGAAGAGAATGAGTACTGCCAAGTTGAAAAGCTTCTTGCCTTATCAAGACCTTCACATCTTATAAGGCTCACCCTTCTTGAGGACTAATGCTGTCATCCAATAACTGCCAAAAGTTAATACTGTTATATTTTTTTACTTAGTGGCATAACTGTCATCAAGTAAATAAATGTGCTATAAAATTTGGGTACTAGATTGAGTGCAGTAATAATGTTTAGTCTATTTGGGAAACTATAACTAAGTTAGAATACCTATTACAACCTTCCTGGTTTCCTCCCTTTACTTACACTAAATAAGACCTCTCCTGTTTCCCTTTACCTATATTTATTTCTGAGTCTCAGCCCCATTCTGGCTTTCAGTTTCTTCCAGATCCAGCTTAGACCTCAAGGTCTACCCCTCACTCATATTCTATCCTAATCCTTGTACCAGCTGCCTACAAACCCCAAGGCATGAAGCATTCAAACCATCAGTTCTACCTCTGAACGTTCCTCAACAGGAGCCAACAAACTCATCATCCCTTAAACACAACTGTAATTGAGAATCCTACCAACTTGTATATAAACATACCTTTTCCATATAGGAAAACTACTTCAGTAATATGTCTCTAGTTCCTGTATTTATCACTTTACCTCACTTTTATTCACTTTCATGCAATTCACACTCACTGCAATATGACTTCTATCTACACCAATCCCCTGAACAGAGCCCTCACGACCTCCTACAGACAAATCAGAAATGTTTTCCCGTCATTTGTTGTCTTCGCTTCCTTCCAGGGATCCTCCTCTAAGTTGCAGAGCTGGCCTATTTCTCATTCAACACATTATCTATAGGTAGTTTAAATTATAATGTGAATTTATTATATGTACCCTGCTACATATATCTGTATCTAATTCTCTAAATTAAAACTGTTCCTCTAAGTCAGATCTGTAAATACAACGTCTCTTGGTCAAGCTGCAGATGCTCAAATGCAGCACCTACAACATCAATCACATTTTCTTCTAGGCTTTCTACTCCTAAACCTGTGTATTTGTTGGGGAAGCGCTGATATTTCTGTATTTGCTTCACTAGGCAATGCAATCATTTTCTCAGTCCCCTAATTAGGAATTTATAAGCCTTTTCCTCATCCTTTAAATAACAAATTTTATCTAAGTAGTGCCTTAATGCAAGAGATAATCATTTTTTATCTAACTGCAAAACCTTAAAATCATACATGAGGGTTTCACCTGAGCATTTCTACATAGTGCCTACAAATGATCTCCTACGGAAAAAATACTTTACCATCCAACTTCCCTTTTCTAAATGCTTCCACTAGCTCAAAATCCTCATAGCTGATCAAGTTCCTTCTGATTATTCCAAAAGAACTGTATGATTTGCCACAGTTTAACATATACTCTAATCCTTGTTGGCTTCCAATTTTATTACTGACTATTATAATTTTGACTTATCCCTGTAGGTAACTAATAGGTCATTGATAAGACAGATCTAAACAAGGTTTCCATGTAAAGAAATCAAGTCCATGAAATTCACAGGTATTAGACAAGTTGGATTTGAAGTTATAACTAGATTAAAATAGTAGTAACAATTAAGGGTTTGGGAATACAGCTCAGAAATAAGAGCACTTGAATGGCATATGTGAGGCCCTGGGTTCAATCCCAGCATTTAATGACAATAACAAAGTAAAGACACTCCAATCTCCTTGCCCAGACAGATCCTACACATCCTCCGATCAAGGTCCATCCAGGTGAGTCTGCCTGGTCTTCCCATCAACACACCCTAAGCAACTCCCGAGATCACACGTCAAGTACTGCAGCCTAGCCTGGCCCCCTACTTGTTGGGCCCTCAGCCTCCAGGTTCTGATCAGGACATAACCCATTCACACAACCATCCAGGCCTTCATAAGACATATCCTAACAGGTCTCCAAGATCTTGCACTACAGTCTTGCCGGGTGACTCCACCTGATTTTCCCCTGCATACACCCTTCTCAAGCTCCACACTTACCCTCGAATCAGGCTTGCACTAGGATACACACCCTGGATGCCCCCAAGAGCCCTGCATCCACCTGATTTCATTCCATATAGCCACACCAAAACTTTAGGGCTGTGCTCTGCTCCAGCCTGCTCCGTCCACGCCAAAGGACAAAACAAGTCCATGCACCCAGACCTCACAGCAAAAACACAAACAACAGCAAAGATCAAGACAGTATTCCTTTCCTCCCACCAAACTCCACTAGTTTGCCAATGAGAATTTCCTAGATGAACCACAGGACATGGAATTTTAAAAACCAACCTTAAACTTCAACGAATTTAAGGAATTTAAAGAAGACCAAAAACAAAACAAAAAACAAAAACAAAACTGCTCAATGAACTGAAAGAGAATAAATGCCTAAGTGATGGCCAAGAAAACACATATTGTAAGTACTAGCTGGAGCAATGAGCCAAGAGAATGAAATTAAAGGGAAACAAACAAAAAACCACCAAATTATCCCTATCTGCAGATGACATGATAGTTACATAAGAAATCCTAAAATTCCTACCAGAAAACTTCTAGAAATAATTGATCATCTCAGCAATGTGGTAAGACAGTCAACTTGCAAAAATAGCTTTTTTATATACCAATAACAAACCTACAGGAAAAAAAAAAAGATCATAGATTCACTCCCATTCATAACAGCCTCAAAAAAAAAAAAAAAAAAAAATTCTAGGAATAAGCCTAACCAAGGAAGTAAAAGGACCTCTACAATGTAAACTTTAAACTTCTAAAGGAAGAGACAAAGATCCTAGAAAATGCAAAGACACTCCATCCTCAAGGGTTAGTAGAATTAATACTGTGAAAATGAACATCCTATCAAAAGCCACTTACTGACTCAATATAATCCCAATCAAAATCCCCATCTCATTCTTCATTAACATTGAAAAACTCCTAAAGTTCAAATGGAACCACATAGGATTCTGGATAGCCAAAACAATACTAAGCAAAAAGGACAATCCTGTAGGGATTACCATTCCAGACCACAAGATATATTACAAAGTTACAGTAATAAAAACAATATGGTACTGGCACAAAAACAGATATGTAGACCAACGGAACAAAATCAAAGACCCATATACATATATATAGTACATATACCTATAGCCATCTGATATTCGACAACATTGCCAAAAACGTATGCTGGAGAAAAGACAGCATCTTCAATAAATGGTGCTGGGAATACTAAATGTATTAAATTAGATTTCTATCTATCGCTTTGCACAAAACTAACTCCAAATAGATCAAAGATCTAAGTGTGAAACCTGAAGTACTTACAGTGCTAGAAGAAAGCATAGGCAGAATCCTACAGGACACAGGTATAAAGATGAACTCTCTAAACTGGGTTTGCCCAGAAACCAAGACCAACAACTGACAAATAGGACCTTTGAAAACCAAAAAGCTTCTGCATGGCTAAAGAAACAATCAAATGAAGAGGAATCTTACAGAATGGGAAAGCATCTTACCAGCTGAACTAAAATAAAATAAAAGACCCATGTAAAAATGGCCTTGCAATCTCTAAACAGTTTTTTGTTTGTTTGTTCTGGTTTTTCAAGACAAGGTTTCTCTGTATAGCCTTAGCTGTCCTGGACTCGCTTTGTAAACCAGGCTGACCTTGAACTCAACAGAGACTGACTCTGCCTCCCAAGTTCTTGGATTAAAGGTGTGTGCCACCAAGCCCGGTTGTCAAAAGAATAAAATAGCTAAAAAGTATCTCAAAAAATGTTCATTCTCTCTAGCAGCAAGAAAATGTTAATCAAAACAATTTTGAGACTTCATCTTATCCAAGTCAGAATGGCAAACATCAACACAACAACTAACAACACTGGAAAGAATGTGAGAAAAAAGAAAGGAATGAGTCCTTACTGCTGGACACCATTTACTTCAGGCATAGGTCCTGGACAATCAGAGATACACCTGACCTAAAAGCCTCCTTCATGTTACTAGAAGGCCCCATAAAAGATTCCAGGGGAGGGAAGGAATGAACAGTCCTACTCAGCTATGACACCTATGAACTACAATATCCAGTAAGCACAATATCCCTAAGGGTGAAATCAGGGCACACATACCTTGTCAGTAACCAACAACTCTCTAGTTGGAATTATGGCCTGCTCAAAAAAAGGAAATCATACCTTGTACTAGACACATAGCCAACTACTGGGGGTTAGTGAAAGCATGGATCCTGGAAGAGAGCCTACAACAGCTACTTTACTAAACCAGCATAAGCCCTAAATGCATTTTCAATATTGATCCTTATTCTCACAGACAAGAATAGGTCGTGTCTCATCAAAGAAACCGCTCCTTGAACAGATGGAGAACATTATAGAAAATCACAACCAATTAAAATTCAGAGAACAAGTAACAATGTGGTGCTCGGCTCCAACTTACACATTCA